GGTTGTGATTTGACTGATATGAAAGATCAGTGATTTTTAACCGTCAAAATGGAAGATAATTAGGATTACAGATTGTTGTCTGGAATTTTCACCCCAGCATATCTCCATTTAATCTTTGTTCTTGGTCATCTTTGTTTGCTGATTAACCATCAGATGACTTTTTTTTTTTGTTAAATGTTTCTGTTATGCGGAAGATATAAAGAATTAGATGATTACGTTTTCTGTTAAACTTTTGCTTTTGCTACATATACAAAGCATCTCTCAGATTCTTTCAATTTTATATATTTGATTAGGTCTTCTTTGATAGTGTTTTGACTAATTGCAGAGAGGAGTTGAGAATACTATCTTTGGTGCAAGCAGTATTCACTCACTATCTATTTTTGCGTTTTGTGATTGTGGGTTGGGAAGCATCTTGTTCACATAATTGAATTGCACCTCTTCAATCTCACCATTTAAGGCTATTCTTATTATTTGTTTTCCTATATTGTAGGGCCAGTTCCCATACAAGAACAGATTGTCAAAAAGAGATCTGGTGATGTGATAAAAGGAAGGACTGAAAAAGTAAATGAACCTGGTAGGAAGACGGTAAATGTAGTTCGCAAAGATCAAAACATGGATGGTATTCCTGATGCGAGGAGCACTATGGTCACCCGGACTCGGGTGCGTAGAGAAACTGTGAAGCATATGATTTACCAAAACTGCTGACCTTCATCTGCAAGTTACATCCTCAAGTATGAACCCTCGTCCGACTCTTCTAATTTCTCTTATGTTTCACAATTCCATGCCTTATTTGTATGGTTGTTTGGTTTGATTTAGTCGTTTCTCTTTCCCTTCTATCCTTTAGCGGGAAGGCTTGGCTTGCCCAAGTGCCCTTGGGCTGTCAGGATATTTCATGGCTCTGTCCTTTGATTTTTCATTAGGGTCTACTTTTAGAGAAGACTTTCTCCCTTGGCTTGCCCAAGTATCATCACTTTGGCTATGTTGTTTTGTTCCTCATGATGCCAGATTTCACAATTATTAGTAATTATAAATTTTTTTGTTGTTTTTAACCTGAGCTTGGCTCCAAGTCTAGGAAGACATTACTGTTAAGTGAGTTGGACAAGGTTCATGTTCCAATTCTTAGAAGATATCACCTTCAAGGAGTCAGACAAGACAATCTGTAGTTCGATTCTAGGAAGCACCTAATCCTTAGAAGCAGCCGTTTTCCATACTCCTGGGGTAGAGGGCGGTTTTTATATTTGACAGTTTCCTGTAGACTGATCAGTTACCATAATAGGGGCCTCGAGGATTTCTTGGAGCTGAAAGTATAGTCGCAACTTTTGACTTGATCCAAGCTAACCTCAGAAGTACCTAAAAGATGCCTCAACTACCCCTGTTTGCACTGGAGACCTGTACAGAGTTTATATGTTCAATCCTAGCTGTAGTTGGCCTGGTTTCGTGATACTGTAATTCTCCTTTATCGGAATAGAAACAATAGGAACATATATTAGATTGTTGTGGTTGGATACATGGGGAAGTGTGTAGGCTCAAGTGTGTCGCCACCAGTTCAGCCTAGTAGTGGATGTCCAGGTTAATGTTGTTCAAGTGAGACTTTTGGCTTGAAGCATTCAGGGATTGTTAAAGTAGTGGTCTCAGGTTCAATTCCCAGCAGAGGAACACAAAGATAGGTGTTTTCTTCTCATCCACCTAATTCCTGGTGGGAGGTACTAGCTATAGGTAGTAGCTATATTCAAGTGGAATAGTCAAGGTGTGCACAAGCTGTCGAGGACACCACCATCAGAAAATATAATACCGGTATGTCTCCTGCTTTATGTCTTAATCGGTGCAGCATTTTTTCCTTGTGCAGATCACTGGGTTGATCAGCTATGGACTCTGTGATGGACATAAAGATATGGAGTCATTTTGTACGAAGAATCTGTAAAGCAAGCTCTGCTCAGACAGACAGTGGGACGTCTGAGATTTGTCCTTGATTAGTGTAGCAGTTGTTACAGTGAAATAGTAGTTCACAAATGCTCAACAAGGGCTATTTTTAGTCAATAGTGGATTTAGTTGTAGTAAAGAGATGTCGTGATATTCTTATCGAGCAACATGCATGATCGGAATTGGATTGCTTTAATTTGTTGTTCGTCTATCCTCTTCGATATCACACTTCTAACTTGTCTTCTTCTCATCAAGTCGCAATTTTGTACCTTGTGTAGTCTGCAATTCTACTTTTGAGAGCTGTATTAATCATTTCTAGAAAGACATTGGATCCATTTAATATCAATTTACATGCATAATGTTACTGCTGAAATTTATCACCTCTTCTTCTATATATGTGCATATCATTCCACTTTTGCTTTCTCAGGCAGAAGGCTGATAGAAACAGAACCGAGCAAGCGTGTGAGTTGAAGATTTTCTTGTGTAATAGGAGGCAAGCGCTGCTCCTTAACTAATCTGACTCAAGATAGTCTTAGCTGATTTTGTTTCCATAGGTAGTTCTGTTGAGTTGTATACGTTCTATTATGTTGACCAAGTACATATGCTAGTTTAATTTGCCAGGTCTGGACGGTTCATGACTAATGTATACATCGTGTTGCAGCTAAATGTAGTTTTAGATATTCAATTATAGCTTCAACTATGCTATTCAAATCTATAGCTATGTGTTGAGTAATTCATGTATGATAGGGAGATCCTCTTTCCACCATGCATTATTGAACACCAAATCCAATCAATGAGAGAAACGTGCAGCTGCTCCTCACGGTGTGGGAGGTGTGTAGGGTACTGGTTTCCTATGCTGAAATGTCTAACTATCTTAGGTCGGCAGATTTATATGGCACTGTCCATAGTTCCCATATAATTGTGGTTGGCATCATTGCATGGGTACAAAGCTGCGTTTTGGCCTTTCTTCCTTGGCTTGCTATGATACATTTTTGTATCTTAGTAAGTGTAGTGATTTATTTGGATAGTCCGGTGGACTTTGCATAACTTTACTTAAGTTTATACATTAATCCTTGTGTTTTTATTATATTTGAAAATTGAAAATAATTTAATTTTAAATTTTTTATTTTATGAGAAACTTTTATAGGTACGTGAATTCTATGATATGCTTACGATTAAAATTATAAAAATCCTCTTTTTTGGGGTTATTTTTGCGTCTGTAGTTAAACTAAGTTATGATGGTTGGACCGGATGGACATGTAAAGTATTTCTTTTGATTTATTTGTTGAGTAGACCAACTTGTGTTGGTTTTGGGGATTGTTGAACCTTGAGAACATGTCTCGTATTTCTTGAAAAAGTGTGATTCGATTGATGGGATTTGGTATGAGATCGATAAAAGTGATTCGATTGATGGGATTTGGTATGAGATCGATGATCTCGATGAAGTTGATATTCCAATCTTTCTTCTTAGGATCCGGATCCATTATTCATTCAGTGAAAACTATTGTTGGATATTCTCCAGCTAAAAGCCAGAATATGGGTCTTATGGGAGGTTTAAGAAAACATGTACAACAACAACAACCCAGTATAATCCCACTTAGTGGAGTCTGGGGAGGGTAGTGTGTACGCAGACCTTACCCCTACCCTGGGGTAGAGAGGCTGTTTCCAAATAGACCCCAACATCCTTCCCTCCAAGAACTTCCCACATTGCTCTTGGGGAGACTCGAACTCACAACCTCTTAGTTGGAAGTGAAGGTTGCTTACCATCAGAGCAACCCATCTTGTCTAAGAAAACATGTACCAATTACCAAAATCTTGCTTATTTATTACTTTGAGGGGTGCACAATTTTCTTGAGCTTACTACTTGGAAAATGCTTCCTGATGTATAAAGGTGATTTGAATTCGATGTTTCTGTTCTGTCCCATAAAAAAATTAAGAAGGATCGTCTAAGATAAAACCTTAAACATGGATAATAAAGACCAGGGAAATAAGTGGTTTGATTAAAATCACCTATATATGCCCTATAAAATTTTGGTCAACTTATGTAGTACAGCCAGGTTCTTTGTTGTACCTATCAGTCCATGCATGTGACAGCAAAAAAAAATGTGGGGCTGTGACATATCTCCTTTTGTGATTCAAGAGCAATTGCAATTCTAATATTATACCACTACCCTTGGGAACAGGAGCGTGCACATAATTTTTTGTAAGTGGTGTCGATAATTTTTAAAAGTGAATAAATAAACAAATATAACATAGATGATATATTTTTTAAAAAAAAGATTCAATTTATATCAATAAAACGCAATATATTATAATATTATAACTTTTTTCGACAAATTTTTACTTTTTTGAAAATTATTCATAAAGCGTCATAGTACTATATATATATTATATAAGGCATCAAACAATCTCTCATATTTAAATAAATTTCAAAGAACTTAAAATTTCTTTTATTGCGTAGATATGATTCGCCTCATTGATTCTTTCTTCCAAGTTAAATGAATTTCAGATGATAAAATTGCTTAATTTTGAAAGTTAAAAGATTTTATCTTCAAGAAAAAGAAAAGGAAAGAAAAAGATGTAGCAAAACACATATAAGAGCCCCCGAGCTTCGAACCCCTTATCTACCCCGTTCATACTTGGCTTCTTAGCCACTGGACCAAGATGCATTTCCTTTACAATAATGTTCGTTTTATTTTTATAACGGCTATTTATAATATTATAAATTTAATAAAATATATATTTAATTAAATTTTCCGGCGAAGCGGTGTCGGATGACACCGCTTGCACAAAGGTGCATCCGCCCCTGCTTGGGAACGAGGTACCCCATGGTTCTAGGAATTCTAGATCACGGGGAATTCTAGATCATGGGTGAACTACTAGAAACGGAGAAAAACGGAAGTATTAAATGGGAAGTGTTTCTTGTTTCTTTGGGTAAATAATTCGACATTCAATTAAGTATATTAATGAAGTTTTTTTTAACAAGAGGATTTACAGATAATATTAAATTAATTTTAAAAAATATATATATAAAATATTTAGTATGCGTGGATTCATGTGCTTTATGATTAGGGCAATAAATCTGATCGGGGAGAGGCAGTGTGGGTGGGAGGAACCTAATGATTGAAGGTAGTAGGATTATCCAACTTTGTAGGACGAAAAGAGGGGTCCATCCATGTGTGCACATGCGTGTTTTTCTTTCATTGCTTAGTTGCGACCACTCATTTTCACATAACCTTATGTATTGCTGGCTATGTGCAGGTGTGCCCGAGCATGGTAATCTTTTTTTTATTGCTAATTAGCATGTCGAATTTAGCTCAATAAGTTGAATGTGCTGAACAAGTTGCGTTAACTAAGTGTCATTTACAAGTTGCAACAAGAACGCTGAATTAAGTGAATGTGATTTACCAGCAGCATTTGCTGACACTTTCATTCCCAAGATATATATATTACGCTCCCCGGTTTACAATAAGTGACCAGTTTACTTTTTCATTTTGGTTCAAAATAAGTGTCTAGTTAGGTAATCAAGAAAATATTTAGTTTATTTTTACTCTTTTACCCCTATGTCCATATCTCTAAAAAGTTTTCTCACTCCTCACTATAACTATGTGACCAATATTTAATAAAGGTA